ACCGCCTCCTTGGAGCTTCGTGAAGATGTCTCGCATCTCATCCAACACCGGTTGCATCGGCTCTCCATCAACGAACTTGATGTCGCGCAGCCGCCGCGCGAGTAGCACGATGCCGGTAGCATGTGTTGGTGAGTGCACATCCAGAAGCTTCCTTCAAGCCTGGGGGCCACACTCTGGATCACCCAAGAGGTCCTTGATGTGGTTAAGTTGTCGTCCGCCCACCGCTTGCACCATGAGCATGTATGCGTCGAACGATCGCTTCATCCACGCTCCTTTCAGCTCCGCGGCCTCCGGCATCTTCTCCTTTCCCTCCACCAAATCCAATAGCTTGTATTGGGTATACATCAGCCTCATGGGGAAACTCAAGTGCTCGTAGTCCTGCCCCATGAATTTCTCAATAGAGAAAGCTTTCACAGGATCCACGGTAGTAGATGGTGTAGAAGAAGTAGGTAGCGTAGGGTTGGCTGGTTGGTGAGTCCCGACTCCTCCACCAGCAACTCCCCCCAGTTCTCCAGCCTCTCTACTTCTATCCATCTTGCCACTAGCACCTCCGGAGTTCGTACCAACCATATTGAGGCCTTATGAACGGTGGAAACTTGAGAAATCGTTTGGAGAGAATTCTGCCATAACTTTCGATTCTACGAAAATCCCCGTCGCAGATTAGATACTTTGAATTAGAATGCGGTTCGACGACCAATCGAACGTTCGCAAGCAGAGCTACTAGAAAATGGTCTCATTCTACAACATTGGTTGAGAATTGACGACGATTCGTTGTCTCAAAGTCCACTACCCGCTCTGATACCACTTGCTGTTCAAGATCCGTCACTTTGAGAGCTTACGACGAACTCATTACTCAACTAAACGCAAATCTGCTCAGTAGGAAGTTGCGTCTTAGGCTTAGCTACCATCTCCAAGCTGAATCATTTGTAAAGATGGTCTATAGAGTGAGAACCAAGTAAAAACGTACAGCAGCCGCAAGACTAGAATGGTGGAGGAAGTACAAACATTAGGGCATAGAAAGTTGGAGTTGGGGACTCCAAGAGAACCATGAGAGGGAAGGGGTTCTCCAAGAGCTAGGAAAGGATGGTAAGAACCTTCCTAGCAGCAAGGATGCAACCCTCATCATGAAGTCCTTGAGGAGTCACATGCAAAATCCAATCTAGCTAGATTTTGCCTAGATGTTGCAACATTTGCAACCCATGCTAGAAACTTCTAGCCACCCCAATCAAAAAGTCAAAGTTGGCTTTCTAACCACCCAACCAAAGATCCCTTTATAGTCATGTCCCAAGTAATCACCAGAATTAGATATAGCCCCAAAAGGTAATTAGAAATCCAAATCTTGGAAATCTTGTAACTTGGGCGATCTTGGTCGGAATAAGGCGATCTTTGTGTCGTTGGAAAGCTCTGGATTTCTCCTGCATGATCAAGCATTTAGACTTGGAGAAAAAACACAGAGATGATAATATCCAACAGCCATGCACAATGACATACGCTCATGCAAATCATGCAAGCACAAATAGCACGAGCACTCAGCAAGATGTTAGGATGACATGCACTCAGAATGACGTGCATCCAACATGCCAGTCCTACTATCACGCGTCTCCTGGCTACTGTTGTCACTGACCCTTCCTTTGATTCCACTGCTGCGTCTGCCTTAGTTGCTGAGCTTGTCGACTTTGCTGCTCGCTGTCGTCTAGACTACGCCACTAGTCTTGTTGCTGAGTCTTAGTCTGTTTGTCCTCCCTCCGTCGGGGGTGAGTGTGCTCTTAGCACGAACGTCCTTGAGGACAGGCAGGAGGAGTTCCAGTGTTTTGCTGCTCCTTTGCCTCATCTCGTGTCCACGCTGATTGCCCCTGAGGGAGACCCGGATGCACCACACATCCCGACTCCTCGATCGTACGCTGAGGCGATCGAGGGTCCCTACTCCTCTCAGTGGCACTCAGCCATGGACGCAGAGATGGCTTCCTAGAGGTCCACAGGCACCTACGTCGACGAGGTTCTCCCACCTGGGGCGAACATCGTCAATGGCATGTGGATTTTGAGGGTGAAGCGGCCGTCGGGTTCTCCGCCTGTCTTCAAGGTGCGTTACGTGGCTCGAGGCTTCAGTCAGCGGCAGGGAGTTGACTACTTTCAGACCTTCTCTCCCACCCTAAAGATGACCACTCTTCGGGTGCTGCTGCACATAGCCGCTCAGCGCGACTACGAGCTTCACTCTACTTCAGCACGACTTTCCTGCTGGGCAGCTTGCACGAGGAGATCCGGCTGCGCCGCCCACCTGGCTTCGCTGGGTCGTTTCCCCCTGGTACCCAATGGAGCCTCTGTCGGCTAGTCTACGGTCTCCGCCAGGCGACCCGTGAGTGGCAGGTCACACTGAGGACTACACTTGCGGCTCTTGGGTTTGCTCCTTGTACTGCCGGCCCGTCGCTGTTTCTGCGCACTGACACCTCTTTGTCTCTGTTCTACATCCTCGTGTACGTCGACGACTTGGTCTTTGCCACTACTGAGTCTGCTGGACTCGCCCACGTGAAGTTCGAGCTGCAGAAGAGACACACATGCACAGACCTGGGTGAACCGCGCAGCTACCTTGGCTTGTAGATCACCCGGGATAGAGCACAGCGCACCATTACCCTGACTTAGTCACACATGGTGCAACAGGTCCTTCTGCGCTTCGACTTCACGTACTCCTCGCCTCAGGCCACTCTTCTGTCTACTTGCCACTTGCCCTCAGCTCTGCCTTCGGATGAGTCCGTAGAGCCGAGTGGCCCGTACCCAGAGCTTGTTGGCTGCTTCATGTACCTGATGACCTGCACACGACCTGACATTGCATACCCTCTTAACATCTTGGCTCGCTATGTTGCTCGTGGGAGACTCCGACCAGAGCACATGGCTGCAGCGAAGAGGGTGTTGCGCTACTTGTGCAGTACGTCGGGCATGGGGTTAGTGCTTGGAGGGCGACGTCGAGTAGTCCTCACAGGTCACGCACACGCTTCTTGGGCCGACGACCAGGCTATGTAGCGGTCGTCACAAGGTTACACCTTCAGCCTTGGTTCCGGCTCTATTTCGTGGCGGTCTACCCGCTCGTCTTTTGTTCTCACCTCCAGCTGTGAGGCCGAGATCTACGCGAGGGCCATGGCTGCACAGGAGCTACGCTGGCTCACCTACCTGCTGACTGACCTAGGAGAGCCGCCTCGTTCTCCTTCAGTTCTGTACGTAGACAACATGGCCATGCTTGCCTTGTGTTGGGAGCACAGAACGAAGCACATCGCTCTTCGCTACTTCCTTGCTCGTGAGCTGCAGCAGCGTGGTCAGCTGCGCCTTGCTTACGTGGCCTTTGAGACCAACACTGCTGATATCTTTACCAAGGCACTTCCGCCTTGTGATCATCTGCGCTTCTGTATGATGCTAGGTCTTGTGCCTTCTTGGCCTCACTTGCTCACTTCTTGACTTTGCTTGTACTGTGATCTTTCTATACCTGCACTTGCTTGTTTACCTTTATATATGATCTTGGATGTGAACTGGCCTTGTGGCCTTGAACTTCTGCTCGGAATGTGTGGTGACGTTGTGATCCACGCTGAGCTTGCTTTGCTTTGCTTGACTGGTCTTGTGACCTCTTGTTCTCCCCCACTTTGCCTATGGGGTGGTGTCAACCTTATATGCTATGGTCTATCTAGGTTGTAGTGGGGTAGACAGTACAGGGTACAACATTTCTAGGTTTCTCACTTGTACCCACATTCTCCTTAGTCATTCCATCCCTCATTTCTTCACAAGATGGACATAGAGAGAGAGACAGAGAGACAAAGAGAGGACATGTTTTCGCTGACGGGATACGGCACCGGCGATTGGCTGACAGCGATACCCATGGAAGCGACTAGGCGGATTGGCCCCGTACACTTCGCCAACTCCATCAAATTCCGCCTAGCTCTCCCATTCTCGACTCCTAAGAATTGTGACTGCGCGGACAAAACGGCTATCAGCGACCCCCGCCTGCCGAACCATCTCCTGCGCTGCGGCTTGGGCAATCACCGCATTAACAGCCACAACGAGCTGCGGGATGCATGCATCAGCATGGCGCATCACGCAGGTTTTATTGTCCACAGCGAGTCGGCCGCCCATTGCCCCATCGAGGAGCAAACTGCCGACTTTACCATGACGGATCGAAGCAGTGGGGCGGTGTATGTGTGCGACGTCACTATCACGGATCCCATAAGCACGAGGGACCCAGAGGCGCAGAAAGGCAGGGGATGGGCGGCACGGGAACAAGCGGATAAGAAGATCCAGCATTACGCCAACCGGCCGGAGACGGTTGCCTTTTTCCCACTGGTAGTCGACACCTATGGCTGCCCATGCGCGGAAGTACCAGCCTTCCTGAAGCTATTGGCAGACACGGCGGCTCGGCTGCACTTCAACGCCGACTCAAAATCATACTATGCCGCAAAGTTTCTACATCAGTTTCGACAGAGATGGTCGGTGGCCCTTCAAAGGGCGCAATCTGTGGGCCTCCTGATGAAGATGGGCGAGGCGGCTGCAGCTGAGAACCCGCCTGTGGGCGGGATTGGGCAGGAGTTGCACCTTGGAGATTGTTTTGCAGTGATAGAGCCCCTCCTAGATCTTTAAGGGGGCTGTAGGGTAGGACTTGCCTTTGTATGTATGCTTCTATACCTTGCATGCTTGTACCTGGCTGCCACATCAATATAAGGACCATTAGAGAGACAAAGAGAGAAAGAGAGAGAGAGAGAGGGAGAGAGAGAGAGAGAGAGAGAGAGAGAGAGAGAGAGAGAGAGAGAGAGAGAGAGAGAGAGAGACCCTAGCCTAGCCTCGTTAGCCGCTTCTAGCACTGTTTCCTTAGTATAAAGTCTCTAGTCTTTGGCCCATTACGCTCATTCTTCACTGGTGAGTCTAGTTCACTCTCCAAAACCGGCGGCTCGCGCCGGCCGCCTTCGGCGGCCGCCGCTTTCCGGCGCGGCCTGCGGTCGCGCATGAGGTGTGACAAGGGGTCTCCAATGACAAGTTTCATAAGAGTGTTTGATACAACATGCAGTGGTAGAGCCCTGCAGCAAAAGCAACACCCCCGGGCGTGCCTCCCGTCCATCCAGCACAGCCTCCCGTCCATCCAGCGTAGGACGGATGCGGCTGCTGATACAAGACCAAGAGGGGCCCCCTGAGCAGACTCAGCAAGCCGCAACATTGCCCCAGGGCCGGGCCCGAGCGCAGCACTAGGGGCGCCCTGGACAAGCCCGATCAGGGGGAGATAATGTAGCATCTCCCTTGCTGCGGACACCGCCGCTGACTGCTCCGATGGCATCATCCCCCCAACCTCCACACCTTGTCGCGCCAGACACACGTGGAGTTGGTCCAGCACGTAGGACAACAGCGTCAAACACGTCCCCACGTGCATTACGCGCTGCTTAATGTGGAAAGGAGTCACAGCCACACGAGTAGCAACGTGAGGAGCCGGTGGGACGGGTGGGAATAACAGCACCTGGGGAGGCGGCGGGGGAACAGGAGTCGGTGGAGGGCGAGGCGGCTGCGGCCGCGGTGGCAGGGGGAAGTGGCGCAAGGGGGACTGAGTCAGAGGCGGCTGTGACGGTTGAGGCGGCGGCGACTGCGGGGCTGGAGGGGGTTGCTGCTGAGGCGACTGAGATGGTGGCTGCTGTTGAGCTTGGCGGGCCTGACGCTGCCTTTGGCGGCGGCTCAGCCTCACCCTCTGCCATCCCCCAGGCGTGGCAACCAGAGGAGCCGGGACCACCAGTGGCTCAGGAACGGACCGAGGCGGTGGAGCTGGCGGCATCACCGGAGCCTGTAACGGCGTCTGTGCTGGCTGCGCCGGTGACAGCGGCGACAGGGGAACAGGGCGGAGCCCAGACCGAGGAGGGTGCGCCGGTCGCCGGTGCGAACGCCGAAATTTATGTTGTTGCCGAGGGCGCAAGCACGCAGGGACACGACCTGGGGGGGAGCGGTAGACAAAGTCGCGGAGCTGGCGGGACTGCCGGCGCCGCCCGCGGGAAGACGACGCTTCGAGCCCAGCCAGCACCGAGGCGGCCCGGAGCAGGGCTGGGACTTGGTCCCCCGGGACCCCTCCTGGGCTGGCTTCTGCAAGGGCAGTTGCCACAAGGGCAAGAGCGTCACTTGCAAGAGGGAAGCAAGAGATAGGATCAGGCTAGCACCCACACCGATCATTACGATAGGGAACGCAGTGGCGGGACCATCAATGCAACAACCATCGTGTCGGGATTCGCGGAACTCGACGGGGGGAGAGGAGAGAACAACCACGGCTGCCGCCACGGCTCAACAGACCCCACGGCGTGAAACCCGCAGTGCTACGAGGGCGCAAGGCATCACCTGGGGCCAGCCAAGGGCTGGCCAGGCAACGCTGATGCTGGCGCCGTGGATCCCGGCGGGAAGACCGCAACAGGCAGGCCGAGGCGAGCAGAATGCCGGCCCTAGGGGGGGAGAAACGGCTTGCGGAGCAAGGGGAGGAGTGCGAGGGGCCAGAGGGGGACAGGGTGGAAGAGGCCCAATTGTCGGTGGAAGGGTCGCGCTCGTGAGAACGGGAACGTGGCGGGAACGCCACGAGCGACCGGAGCAAGCGGAGCCTGCAACGAATCACGACGAAGAAGATGATGCAAACACCTATGAGGGGGGCGATTATGTAGCTGAATCAGCGGAGCCATCAGAGGAAATCTTATTGGGAGGACGAGGAGGGAGTACACATGACGAGAAGAGCTGGGGAGCGAAGGAGAACCCAGAACAACGGGGTAAACCCCCAGGGCGATAACCCTCAGGGTACGAGAATTGGGAACGAGGAAGCGCGAGGAGTAAGGGGAAACCCTCAGGTGGTGGGAGAAAATGGGGACGCACCCAACGAGGGACAGAGTGACTCTGGGGTCAGATCACCGTCTGACCTCACGGATGATTCTGCCATCTGGGAGCTGGGAGCCACGTGGGATAAATACCCACTCCAAAAAGGGGATCAACCCTTCGTGGTCCGCAGAATGCCGCCCAAGATCCTGGAAAGCTACACGCTCTGTCTCCTGGCGCCCCTCATTCGACTCTTGAAGAATCCTGACTGCCCAGGTGCATGGGCGATCCTGCAGTATCTGCCGAGGCTCACGCTACGCCCGGCCGCTCAACCTGTTGAAGGCAGCCGGTGGACAGCAATTGAGCTGCGCCTGCACCAGTTCCAACTCGGTAACTGGTAGGCCCTCTACACCGACGCATGTGTTATCCCCGACAATGAGAGCCCGACACGACACCAACCGGATGACGCAGGTTTATGCCCAAGGGCGGAAGGGTTGATACGGAAAGGAAACATTTCCAAGGCGGTAGCAGCGTTACGAACTACACTGCTCGTAGAAGCAACGTCAGCAACTTTGACTGCCCTCCAAGCGAAAAACCCCGCAGCCAAAACTTCGATACCGGGTCTGGTTATAGGGTTCAACCGCTCGACCCTCAGCGTGTCAGCATACGAACTTCACGAAATCCTGAAGAAATGCCCAAATGGGGTTGGAGCAGGCCCATCTGGCACCTGCTTCGAACACCTCAAGGATCCGGCACTGGCAAACGGGGAGGTGCTTATTCTACTCGCTAAGGTAGTGACGTACCTGCTGAGCACGTTCCAAACACAAGCGACCCGCGATTTGCTGCTGCCTTCACGGTTGATCGCCCTAGAATAGCCAAGAGGAGGAGTTCGGCCTATTGCGATAGGGGAGGCTATCCTTCGAGTCGTAGCTAAGGCGGCATTGCGTGGTCTAACCGAGAACATTAAGGAGTTTTTCGTACCAGTCCAGTTTGGGGTAGCGATACCGAGAGGCGCAGAGTGTATCGTCCACTCCGTCAGATCGCTACTAAGGGACAATGACACACGAGTAGCGCTGCAGCTGGACATAGAAAACGCCTTCAACAGTGTCGAACGGGCGGCTTTCTTCAATGCTCTTTCCCAGTCCAGTTTGTTGCAGCTCATGCCCCTGGCCCGAACTCTCTACGGGGCACCGTCGTCACTCTTGGTTGATGAACGTTTAGGAGTGAACCATATCCTCTCGTCACGCGGGGTGCGTCAAGAAGACCCGCTCGGTCCGCTACTCTTCGCGGCAGCAATTCAACCATGCCTGCTAAGCACGGCGACCTTCTTACCGGAAGTCGCGATAGTGGCCTACGCCGACGACATAACGATAGTGGGGCCGAAGGAGGCCTGCTATGAGGCCTTTGGGGCCATTACTAGGGAGCTGGCTACGCTCGGCCTCCGTTGCAACATCTCAAAATCGTCGGCATGGGGACAATCGCTAGCGGATGACGACGGCACGCCACCTCCCATCGGCCGGCAGCAGATCACAGACTGGATCCGGGTTCTAGGCAGCCCAGTCGGCTTGCCTGCCTTCTGCACCACCCAAGCACAAACACGGCTTGATGAGGCATCGGCCTCGTTACCTCTGGTGGCGCAGCTCCACCCGCAGAGCGCAATGCTCATCCTCACGAGGAGCATATCCCACCGAATTTCCTAATTTCTGCGGACGACACCGGCGGAAGTCCTGGGGAGAGAGGAGTGGAGGGGCTGGAGTGAGAACCTGATGGCAACGGCACTAGCAGCAGCGAAGCTTCGAGTACCTTCAGACGAGCTGGAGAGGAGTCTGTTGTGGCGCCAGGGGAGTCTGCCGGTCAGGTTGGGAGGCTTGGGGATTATTGACCTAGTCTCCGAGGCACGTGCGGCCTACATCGCCTCGGTCATGGCGGCGCAGCAGTTGCTGCGCCAGATGAACCTGCCTGAGGCCTATCTCCTGAGCAGGGCGGTCGAGCTGCTGTGCCACGATTGGACCCTTGTCCTACCCGGCATCAACCCCCTGACAACTCTGGAAGCTGGGCTACCCATAGCTGCACGGGCGGCACTACACACTTACAGGGAGCAGCCGGCGGGACAGGGGAACCTTCAATTGACCCTGTCTCGCCACATCAATGAGACGAGGGCGGCGGAGCTGCTGGCTGACACAATAGAAGACCGCCCAAGGAAGGACCGTGGGCACACAGTACGGCTCATCAGTTTGCAAGGGGTGGGCGCGGGGGACTGGCTCCATGCCGTCCCAATGATATCTTACCTTACTTTCACCCCTGGTCAGTTCTCGTTGGCACTTGGCTTTCGCCTCGGCATGGCTCTTCCAATCACAGTCACCTGCCCGTGCAAGCGCGCCAACACTGCAATCACGGACACGAGCCTGGCAAACCACCTCTTGCGGTGTGGGTACGGGGGAGATGTCGTCCGCACACACAATGCTCTAGTGTTTACTCTGCTCCGGATGGCGAAGGAGGCCGACTTCACGGTTTTCCACGAAACCACTGCCTTTTCCCCACCGGTGCTGAGGAAGAGAGGAGACCTTGCTATTCGGGACAAGGAGTCGAATGAGACTTGGGTCACAGACGTGACAATGATCGACCCAGAGCTGCAGTGCCGTGTTAAGCGCGCCCGGAAGCCACCTGGATGGGCGGCAAGAGAAGCTTCAGAGAGGAAACACAGGATCTATGAGGGGCGGCCTGACTACGTGGGTTTCTTCGGGTTGGCACTGGAAACATACGGCGCCCTAGCTACGGATACACAGCAGTTCATCCGCTTGTTAGCAACCTCGACGGCGAAGACAAGGTTCCGCCAGGGGAGGCTCACCACCACCACTGCCCGGCTCATCGCTCACTACACGCAGCGCTTCAGCGTCATGCTCCAGCGCTCACAGGCCTCGTCATTCCTGAACAAGTCGAACATAGGGGACATGGCACCCTTCTCACAGGCGACCAGGGACCCCTGGGAACCTAGCCTAGGGGATCTCTGGCAAGTCCTGGAAGATGAGATGGACGGGGTGATGGGTCAGTGAGCGGGATAGCAATTGCATGGGTGTCTAGCTGAGTGTTAGCCAAATGCATTTCCGGCTCCCGCCTTGTTGGCTTGCCCTGCCTTGCCTTGCTCGGGTTGGCCTTGCCTTGTGTGCCTCTTATGTGTGTTTTGCATCCCCTCCCTTGCCCTCAAGGACCTGACCTACTAGCACAGAGGACTTGCTCGCCTGGCCACCTGTGGTGCCTACCTCAGCCCTGCCAAGCATTACCGGCTGCTCTTAGTACAGGCATGGCAAGAACAGGATATTATGCACCTGTTCTTGCCATGCCTGTACCCCTATGAACCTATCAATGAAGGACTGCTTGAGAGAGAGAGTGGCGAAGATGGAGGGGGCGAAGACGGTCGAGACGAAAAACCCGGGGGGGTCTCCAAGCATGGAGAGCGGCGACTGGCCGCCGTGTCGTCCGCAATTGGGTCACCCCCCCCAGATGGGCCAAAGGAGTTAGAAGAGATCTCCACTAGCTCATCCAAGGGGGGTGGGTCGACCTGAGACACACCTGAGGGAGCAGGACCCTGTGGGGGGAGGGGGTCTACCGGGGGGGGGGGGGGGGGACTTGCACCACGAAGAAGGGCGCTAGGGGAACCGGGTGGGACGCGTGCGGGTGTAACTGGTAGAAATAGACCGACTCGTCAAAGGTAACGTCCTGGGAGGCAAAGACTCGACGCGAGGGCGGGTGGTAGAACTGCCACGGCGGGGCGTCAGTGGGGAAGCCAAGGAAGACGCAGTGGAGAGTGCGGGAGGAGGGTTGCTCGCGGTGGTATCGCGAACAAGAGAGAGCGCGCCCCAGACCCGAAACACTGACGCATCGCCAGCCTTCCCCGTCCACCGGAATGTGGGCAAGGTCTTGGCTACGAGACACGGGGCCAGAGGTTGAGCTGATGCGCAGCGTATCGGACCACAAACGGCCACAAAAAATGGGGAGCAGCCGCATGGATCATGGAGGTACGAGCAACCTCCATGATCAAGCCAATCCGACGCTTAGCAATCCCATTCTGCTGAGGAGAGGCCGGAAGCGTCTCGACAGAACCCCACAAGGAGGCCAGAAGAGAAATCACCGCCCCTGTCATAGTGCAGATGCAGAACTGGGAAGTCCTGCTGAAAGCGCTTGTGCAGCTGGAGACGAGTAGCACGAATCCATGGGGATCAAAACACCGCAGACGTCCGCCTTGCGACGCAAGGGGAAGACTGTGGTGTAGCGTGTGTAGTCATCAACAACCAACAAGAAGTAGTGCTCCTAATTCGTTCCACCGATGGGGGCCGGGCCCCACACATCCATGT